GTCGGGGACTGAGTCGAGGTCACAAAGTTTGTTGTAGATTGTTGAGAAATCCGAGCAAGAGAGGTAGCCTTGGGTATAGCGGTGGTGGAGTGATGGGAGGAGTTGGATATGAGCCATGGTGGCGTAGACTTTCTCAAAGGGCTTGTGGTCGGGGTGTCGAGAGAGGGCATCGGCAACGTGGTTGCTTTTGCCGGGGGTGTGTGGCAAATGGTGAATGTGAATTGGGCAAGAAAGTCTAGAGTTAGGTCCAAGAGACGAGGAGACTCCGGAGAGAGACTAGAGAGAGGGCAGCAGCAAGGAGAGCGAGGGACGCCGTGGCCAGCACCAGGTCTAGGACAACAGCTAGCACAAGTGTAACCATGGCCACCTCCTCCATGTCGCAGGCCTCTTCACAGGCCACTTCGTCAAAAGTAAGTCAGAGTGTTTCCCAGGTTTCCGTTAGCCATACTGTTGGCGAGCAAGTCAGCCAACAGGCTCAACTCACGTCGGGGGATGAGATCCTCCAAGCAGAAGAACTTTAGGATGAGCTGCAACGACAATTGGATGAGGCGGCAGAGAGAAGGAGAAATGCTATAATGAGGAAAGCTAGACTAGGTAGTAGATTGCAGGAACCAGGAGAGAAGGTTAACCGACCCCCCATTTTTCAGGTCAATTTATAAGAAAACCATAAGGCCATTTAAAGTAAACTCCACACCAATGTATAGAGTGCACTTCTTACTAACATATTTAAAAAAACAAACCAAAAAAAAAAAATTAAAAACACATAAAACAGCAACCCAAAAGTGCATTTTCAGGCAATTTTGGCATGAAAACCAAAAATTTGACCCCCAAACCCTAATTTCAGTTTTAGTCCCATTAGTCAGGAGCTGAAAATGGAGGTCCCCGTTAACCATTTGTGGGCAAACTAGAGGCACTAGATGAGTCAACACTTGATCCCGTTTTGCACGCGTTGTGGAATTCGCTCCTGTGTGTGGCTGAAAAGCAAGTCGTTCAGCAGGACGTGCTGGTTGAACTAGTGGCAGGCCAGAAACGAATTTTGGTTGCACTACAGGTTCCTCATCCATCGATGAGGCAGCCCCAGTTTGTCGTAGCTCCCCCTTCAATTGCAGGTCCCTCGGTGACGCCGTTTCCGACAGGGCTCTCTTTCTCTCCTATGTTTGGCATGCCCCCTCCAGGTGGTTTTGTGGCTACTAGTGGTCCGGTTCTTAGAGCTTCAACTGTACCATCCACGACAGTGGTAACTATAGTCCCATTGTCAGGGCAAGCCCAGGTTAGTGTGCAGCAACCTGTTTCAGTGGCTATGCAGCCATTGCAGCAATCTTCTGGGGAAATGCAACCCATGCAGTGGATGCCTAAGATACCCTTGCTGAGTCCTAAGCCCTTCTCTGGTGACAGGAAGAAGGACGAGGACTTGGATACCTGGGTGAGGACTGTGCCTACTTATGTGAGGCAGAAGCTCACAAGGCCAAAGCAGGAGGTTATAGTTGCTGCCTCCTTTTTAGAGGGATCGGCAACACGTTGGTTAAAAGGGGTAGTGCAGCAATAGGGTTATGGTCAGAACTTCGACGCCTGGGCTCATGCCCAGACATTGGAAGAATTCGTGCGGAGTGTGTACAACAGGTGGCATGAGCCCCTTGGCCACCGACGCGATTAACAATCTTTGTGCCAAAAGGTTGGGGATCATGCCACCTGTTGTACACACTCCGCACGAATTCTTCCAATGTCTGGGCATGAGCCCAGGCGTCGAAGTTCTGACCATAACTCTGTTGCTGCACTACCCCGTTTAACCAACGTGTTGCCGATCCCTCTAAAGAGGAGGCAGCAACTATAACCTCCTGCTTTGGCCTTGTGAGAATGTACGCGAAGTCACAGATATCATAGAAAGTCTGCTGCCTCCTTTTTAGAGGGATCGGCAACACGTTGGTTAAACGGGGTAGTGCAGCAACAGGGGTATGGTCATAACTTCGACGCCTGGGCTCATACCCAGACATTGGAAGAATTCATGCGGAGTGTGTACAACAGGTGGCATGATCCCCAAGGAGCTCAGAAGGCCACCGACGCGATTAACAATCTTTGTGCCAAAAGGTACAAGAATGTACACGAAGTCATAGATACCGTAGAAAGTCTGATCGTAGTACCTGGTGTGCGTTTTGACCCACAAGTACTCCTCACAGACTACTTGAGATGTCTACCTTTAGAAGTTAGAACTAAGCTGGTGGATGAGGCGTACATAGACGAACATAGCTTCACTACTTTCAACAAGAAAGCCTTAGATATAGAGGCAAAGCTTGGGTCCGCGCATCAGGGTCCAACAGATGGTAGGAAGAAGTAACTTCCCCAAGACTGGAAGAAGGAGGGTCAGCTAATGTTCGTCGACCATGATGGTCAGGCGACAGAAATTGACGACTTCCTAGACTATGGGGACGAGACAGACCATGATGGGGCCAGCGAGACTTTGGATGGGGGAGTCGTGGCCCCTATCAAAGAAAAGGCTAAGGGGACCGGGAAGAAGAAGGTCGCGGGTCAGGGCAACCAAGGAACACCCGCATGGGTAAAACTCGGTTTAGATTACAAGGTATGGAGGGACGGAGTTGCTAGGGGCACATGCATGAACTGTGGCAACTATGGCCACACATCAAGAACTTGTCAAGGCAAGAAGGTCACCACGAGGGTAGCGGCTCCAACGGTAGTGGGCTTATCTTTGAACCCTGGCAGTGCTTCTGCGAGCACTTCCCAGGGAAACACCTCGAGCCAGTACGAGTGTTAGCCGCTCTTACTCGTGTTGAAGTGGTAACGTTACCTTCCCCACTTCAGGCGTTGGCCAAGGCTAGTGACCCAAATATCGCCACGCAGACACATTTAGACTCACCGGCGCTCTATTCGAGAGATGTGTTTGAGTGGTCAGGGAAGGACCCCAGAGACTCTTGGGCGATGATCAGTAGAGGTCCTAAGGGTGAACATTTCGTGGTAGAAGTCAATGTAGGTGGCCGCAAAGTGGGTGCCTTCGCAAACATAGGCTCTACACGGAATTTCATTACTCGTGCTTGTGTGGACAAACTGCACTTAGGGGACCAAGTGCAGCGGCTTAGCAGAACTGTAGCTTTTGCACTAGCCAACAAGCATCAAATGATAGTTAAAGACTATGTCAAGTACGTAGTCTGTTCCTTCTCTTATAGAGGAGGGGAAGTGAGACACAAAATCTCATTCCTCGTTAGCGACGAACTGCCCTTCGATATGTTACTAGGCATGTACTACCTCGAGGTCGCTCAACCTCAGTTTGATTGGGATAGGAAGGTGTTGATACACAAGCTGCCAAATGGTAGGACCGTTAGCCTGCAAAAGTTTAAAGCTAGCGGTCTAGTGGAAAACTACGGCTGCATGTGTGCCTCCTCTTTCTATAACTACTATAAGCAGAATCGCGAGGAATGTCTTTATCTCTGAGAAAGGGGAGGCGGTAAAAAAAAAACAGAGATGGAATCAGTCGTCGCACACGTCACACAATATTCCGACCTTTTTGAGGAGCCCACAGGCGTGGTGGAAAGGGAGGTTGTCCATGCGATAGAAGTTGTCCCAGGTAGTAAGGTGCCTAGAGGACGAATCTATAAGATGTCTCCCGCGGAGTTGGATGAGCTTCGCTGCCAGCTCAAGGAGCTCACAAAAAAGGGATTGATTCGGCCTAGTACCTCCCCTTACGGTGCGCCAGTCTTATTTGTCCCTGAGAAGGGAGGTACAGTAAGGATGTGCATTGACTATAGGGGCCTCGATGCCATCACCGTTAAGAATGCGGAGCCCCTACCCCGCATCGACGACCTATTGGACAGAGTGCAGGGATGTCGGTACTTTCAGACCAGGTACGGTCTGTACGAGTTTGTGGTGATGCCCTTTGGCCTATGCAATGCTCATGGAACATTCCAGCACGCGATGAATATGATTTTTCATGAGTACTTAGACAAGTTTATCGTCGTGTACCTTAACGATATCCTTATCTTTAGTAGGTCTGAAGAGGAGCATGCTGAGCACTTAAAAATAGTGCTAGGTCTCCTAAGACAGCACGAGTACAAGGTTAACTTGGAGAAATGCGAGTTCGGTCACACCAAGATCTTGTACTTGGTCATGAATCTCTGCGGAAGGGTTGAGGCCGGACGATGTCAAAGTGGCCAGCATACGGGACTGGCTCGGACCTCAGACTGTTATTGAGGTCAGATCGTTTTTGGGGATGGTGGGCTACCATCGCCCGTTTGTTAAGAACTATAGTACTATGGCTTCCCCACTAACAGATCTAACTCAACTCGACACCTCTTGGGAATGGACTGAAGAGTGTGAAGCGGCCTTCAAGAAATTGAAGTATGCGCTGACGCACTACGAAGTCCTCAAACTTTCGGATTCTGAACAGCCCTTTGTTGTGACCACAGACGCTAGCCAATATGGCATAGGCGCGGTGTCGGGACCTTTGGATCCCTAATAGCGTCGCGGCACTTGAGAGTCGGTATATAGCCAAGTTGTGCGCCATAGAGAAATCCAGAGAAAGGAGACAAGAGGGAGACGAAAGACTAAGGACTGGGACTGTATCGCCAGGAGGAATGATGACCTGGGCTGAGTGTCGCAGGATGAGGGGGCCCGGCGATGTCAAGAGAATAAGTGACATGACGTGGGCGTATGGGGGCATAGCATGGGGCCAGGAGGGCCCCTCGAATGCGGCATGACGAGCCCGAGGGGCCATGAACTAAGCAAGCGAGACGCGGCAGATGATAAGGGGATAGTGAAGTCGGGAGGTGGACAAACCTGGTGGCTGCGGGACACTAGAAAATAAGGGCCCCGACGTGGGGGCCGCCTACGGCAATTAACGGAAACCACGGATTGGAGGCTCCGCGGCCGGAGAGATCGGTGCGTGCAAGGCTAGAGAAAAGATAAGAAAACGGGGCCACCATGGGGCAGTAGACGCCATAAGAAATCGGGACACCATGAGAAAAGGTGTCGAGGACCACATGGGGCTAAGTAAAAATAATGGTATCTGGAACAAAATATCGACGGGACCATCGGTGGGACAAGTGTCGGCGGGACCGCCAGCGGGACAAGTACCAGTAGTAACCACGGATGCCAGTATGGCATAGGCGCCGTGCTTGCGCAGCAGGAGGGACCAAAGTTGAGGCCTGTCGAGTACATGTCCAAAAAGATGCCCTCTCAAAAGTTGGCCAAGTCCACCTATGAGAAGGAGCTCTATGCGATCTACAAGGCGCTCACCCATTGGAGGCACTATCTCCTTGGGAGGTTCTTCTACGTCAGGACTGATCACCAGATCCTAAAGGGGATGAGCACCCAGCTTGTGCTCTCTGACGCTCTGAAGCGATGGATTGAAGTCATAGAGCAGTATGACTTCGAGCCCCAGTATATCAAAGGTGAGTATAACAAGGTTGCTGATGCGTTGTCGCGTAGACCTGATTTCTCCAGTGCGCTGATTACCGAGTTTGGACTTGCGGACGATGTCACTCGCTCCATGGTGGAAGCCTATCGCGAGGATCCGTTCATGTCTGAGATCATCCGCAGACTTGAGGCAAAGGACAAAGTGACTTCTGCCGAGTTTGAGTTGGTCAACGGCTTGCTGTTCCTTGAGAAGGCTGGGAATAAACGTTTGTGTGTGCCTAATAGAGAGTCTTTGCGCAGTTTATTTCTAGGAGAGTGTCACGACGCCACCGACCATTTTGGTTTCAAGAAGACTGCAGCCAATTTGTTGCAGCGGTTCTGGTGGCCCACGATAATGAGAGATGCCAAGCTGTACGTGGAAACTTGTCAGGTCTGTCAGAGAGACAAGCCCCGTACACAGGCTCCTCTTGGGCTCCTCAAGCCCCTTCCGATTCCGGAAAGGTCTGGTGAGAGCTTGTTCATGGACTTCATGGACACATTGGTCACCAGCAAGAGTGGAATGCGACACATATTTGTCATTGTGGATAGGTTTAGTAAGTATGCTAGGTTAGTTGCAATGCCAGAAAAAAACAAAAACCGAGTACGTCATTAAGTTGTTTAAAGAGAACTGGGTCAGAGATTTCGGACTGCCTAAGTCTATAATTAGTGACCAGGATGTGCGATTCACCAGTGAACTATGGAAAGTCGCAGCTGCAGAACAGGGCACTCAGTTGCAAATGACATCAGGCAATCACCCAGAGGCGTATGGGCAGGAAGAACAGTTGAACCACGCTGTACAACACCTGCTCAGGCACTACATCAAGCGTAGACTAGGATGAGAAACTTGCTCTCATCGCCAGCCTGTACAACAATGTTGTGCACAGCGCTACAGGAGTGAGCCCGAACAGTCTGCTACTAACCTTCAAGCCTAGACTGCCCTTGGATTTCTTATTACCTGAGAACCAGTCCGCTGCTGCACCAGGAACCTTAGAGTTTGCTTATCGATATGAGCAACTGATGCAGCAGGCGGTCGAACAGATGCACAAGGCACATGCGGCGATGATAGAAATTGAGAACAAACACCGTCGCCCATCTACATTCCAGGTAGGAGAAGGAGTCTGGGTTAAGTCCTCAGAACTGGGACAAGAGTACGGGATCTCCCGTAAGCTCATGCCACAGTACTTCGGACCATGGGAGATTCTGGATGTCGTTGGGGAAGATCCGGATGGGCCATCTTATGTTGTCCGGATTTCTGGTCATCTTCGCACTTACCCTGTCTTTCACGCCTCCAAGCTTGCACCATTCGAAGAAACTGATCAGTTTCCCTCTCGTCGCTCAATGCTGCCCCCAACCATGGATGGAGAGGTCGACATCGATGATATCGTTGACCATCAGGAAATGCCAGTTCCAAGACTGACAGGCAGGGGACGTCCTTCGAAACCAAAGCTTCAATACCGGGTTCGGCTCAGACATCACACTGATTCGAAGGAGGATCGATGGTTTACCAGGGAGGAACTGATGCAGACCGCTCCTCAGGTTGTGGCCCAATATGAAAAGTTTCTGCAGAAGCGAAAGCGCCAGATTATCGAAGATTGAACTTCTCAGAGGACCATCGAAGTATGGAGGAGGGAATGCGAGGCATAGGGCCTCGAAATGCCCTAGAGGGCCTACTTTTCACATTGTCGGCCGCCCTAAGTGAAGGCGGGCACGACTGAGGCCCTACAGGCCATATTTGGGGTCACCACGCAACAGAGGAAATTCAGGCAGTTGCGCAGCACCAGTTGGTTGGAAGCGCCTAGGCCCAAGCTGCCTTCCATTGCATGTAACTGAGGCAGGCCTTGGGCCGGATACACAAAGTGAACCGAACAAAGTCTGAGGGCAGTTGGGTGCTGGTAACTGACACAGGCCCTGGGCCTGTTACTTCGGACTGAGGCTCAACCTCGTGGGGCCTACCGGAAGCTTCTGGGACAGGGTCCAGTACCTCACGAATGCACTCAGCAGCAGGCCACTTCGATATAGGGAAGGGCCTGCCTCCGCATTGGACATTCGGGCACTGACTGCTTTGTGCGCAAGCGCTGCTGCGCTATCGCCTGCCAGGCTCACGCGTCACGGGCGAGCTGGAAGGAGCAGGCAGCCATAGCCGAGTTGCGCTGATGTATGCTGGATGGGGCGCATGGTGGTCCTTGGGTGCAAGTTGCATCTGTGATTTGGGGAACGAGGTTTTGAGTGATACGAGAGACATACCTGGTGCTTGAAGCGTGCGGCATTGGCCGAGATCTGCTTCGGGGAGCTCTTGACGACATCAGCGACATTGTAGAGTAGGCTAGATAGGATCTCCCATTTGTAGTCTGGGCGCCGAGCGCCATATAGGATATCAACATTGGTTCTTCGTTGATGATGATGATGAGACTATTCCAGCATTGTCAATTATGAGCTTTTGGTGTGCTCTTATTTGGTGAAACGTGTGATGCAATTCTTCTTTTGGTTCGAGGTCACGACTATATGGTCTCATGTGTATGATGTTGTTTGATTGCTGAAGTTCGCTATTGCTCATCTTCCTTGCAGATATATCCGTGACCAGGTATATCCTGGGATATGGCGGTTGCAAAGTATCTTGATTTTCTCTTAAATTTGTAGAGAAAATCAAGAAAAATCAAGGCCTTATGCAAGCGAGATGCATCGGATTGCATGGGGGAGGGGAAACACATGTTTTAGGTGCATTCGGAGCCAACATTGAGTCCGGATGCATTTCGAAGTTGACCGATTTATTTTGTTTCAGTTTGAGGCATGTTGTGGGGCCATAGGGCTAAGGAAAAGGCCACCATAGCAGTCCGAGAAATAACGGACTGCATGGGGGCGCCTAGGCCAAAAGAAAAAGGGCCTTGGCACACCCAAGACACTAGAAAAAAGTGTATTGGGCTTGGGCAAATGGGGATGGTAAATCATGGCCGTAAGATGGTGGATCTCGCGGCCAGGAATATTCACGGCACTTGAGGCCCATGAGAAGGTGAGATTGGGACTGTCGGGGATAAGAGAGCCCTAAATAAAAATGGGACGACACCGGGAATGATGTCGGGGACTAGATGGGCCCATATAGAAATAGTTGAAAATTGGGACATGTGCCGGCGGGACCACCGGTGGACTAGAAAATGGGACTCGCATGGGAGAGTGGCGGGGACTTGAGTTGTCCCAAGGGAACCATGAGCAAGCAAAAGGGAGGAGTGTGCAAGCAAGTGGCACATATTAACCACTGTTGGTGCAAAAACTAAATAAGCCAAAAAAAAAAAAAAAAAAAAAGCAAAAGAGAGGAAAACGGTGAGGGAAAAATTGCCCAGCAGTTCGAGGAGATATCTCAGACTAGCTAGGCATAAGAAAATAGAGCCCCAAGGGACTCTATGCAGAAAATAGCCTGTCAAGGAAAAATTGGAGCAAGGGGGGTCAAAAATTGAGACTAACGGAGGCAAAATGGAGGCCCTATGAGTGTGGGGGCTTCATTATTGCGATCCGAGAGATAACGGACTGTTGCTAGATCTTGATCTAGATCTAGATCAAGATCTAGGGCCTAGAAAAAGGGTCAACATCAAACTGGTACTTGTAAAATTAAAAGAAAAGAAAAATAAAAAGGAGAGAAAAAGGAGGGAGAGAGACAAAAAGGGAGAAAAAGGAGGAATGAGGTGGCTGACCAGTTGGGACTAGCAATATAGGGACGGACAAGTCTCTACCTAGGTTGGATATTCCAGATTTCATGGAGGAAAATCCGGAGTTGGAGATATGACCCTAAGCTAGGCTACCAGAGTGGCCCGGGGTCACTTGCCCGGCCAGGCCAAAAAAAAAAAAAAAAAAAAAAAAAAAAAAAACACGTTTGTTTTTTATTTTAAATTTGGTGAAGAATTTCAATTTGGCCTTGAGGCAAAAGTTGTTCAGTTTAGTTTTATGCATAACATAGTTTTGTTTTGGATTTCTTGGAATTTTTATTATTATTATTTTTTGTTGGGACTTTTTGCACGGGCTGACCACCCGGGACCCGGACGGCCCGGCTGGTAGCCTAGGCCCTGAGGGCATTATCTCTCAATTATCCCAAATAAAGTAAAGAGAGAAAAAGAAAAAGGAGCATTGTGGTGGTGCCAACTCACAACGTACAATTATGGAATAATACCAAAAATGAAAAAAAAAAAAAAAAAAAAAAAAAAAAAGTTCGTCCAACCAAAATTTGAGGTAGGTACACTTGAAATGTGAGTTAGAGCCCTAAGGGTTCTAACTTGCATCAAGGTCACTAACCTTTATCTCGGACAAGATCTGGCCCTAGGAATTGATCAAAGGACGAGATCGTACCTCAAAAGTAAACACTGTTGATGTGTGTTCTGCTTAGAGCCTTGAGAAACACCTTGGAGCTCCCATAACCTTTTGTGGGAGTCCTGAAGGTTGCTTTTGGAATGGAAGACAACCTATATAAGAGAGGGAGGCTGCAACTCAACTCATATTTGCTCCTTACGCCCAAGTGCCGCCCAAAAGGCTAGCGGGCGTGCCTTTAAGGCCGACGGAGCAAGCAGAGGCCTTGGGAGTGCCTCGGGCCATTTAGGGCGCATAAGAGGGGCTCGTGGGCTGCCCACGGTGTGGTTGGCCACCTACTTAGGGAAGGAAGGTTGGCCGCTGTCGGAGCTGATACCCATACAAGGGCATCTGCTCATGATTTCGCAATCGAGACAATGTCGACACCAACTGTTAGAATGGGGTCGGCTAAAAACAGAAACTGGGGTAAACCCCTCGACCATTATGGTCATGAAAGTTAGAAACCGCAAAGGCCAAAACAAGGCACACGCGGACAAGAGTCAGGGGTTGAAAATTTTGAATGCTCGCAGAGCATGCAAAGACGACAGAGTTTAGTGAGTGAAATGACCGCGCACGCCATTCCAGCACACACGGAGACTGCAAAATGGTTAGTAAGTAAGACCTCCGACCACTAAGGACGGAGGGTTAAAACGGAAAGGATCTCGCGGAACGTGGCGACGATTTTCCTCAGTCAAGTTAACTACTGGGGAAGTATGACCATTTCAGCTCAAGATCGCCGACGTCAAGTATATCAGAAAAGCGAGGCGGGAAACCACTCCCCGCAGGATAGAATATAGGTAGGAATTAGTAGAAGCCCCGGCCATGAGGCCAGGGCAACTAGACAGAAGGGGCCTAACCTGCTGAGGCAGGCTGCGATGGTCGATAGTGGCCTAGATTTCCCTTACGGTAAGCCGCAAGCCTTATGAACTGACTAAGGCTGAGCCCGATACTCTACTTAGGCCAGAATGGCTCCTAGTTGAACCGAACTAGGAGCTAGCCCAGTAGGTACAGGCCTAAACTGATACGCAGAGGATCCTGGGATCGAGTTCGACCTGCCTCCGAGCTAGCTCCTTTTGCTAGCTATAGGGGGCGGGGTCTACCTTTTTCACCCGCCCACAGATGGGCGGGATTCGAACCCGTGACCTCTGTGTAAGGAGGTTAGTTAGACCTAGGCCGAATCCGACAGTTGTCCCAACGGGGAAGTCGGAAGTTAGATTTAGTTTTCGAATTTTTCTTTCTTTTTATTTTTTTTTTGCTTTCCTTTATTTTCTTTTTCTTTCTTTTTGTTTTTACAAACTAGATTCGGGACTATACTCGAACGAATCCAGCCTGCTATCGAGGATGGATTCGTTCGAAGCTAAGGCTGCTAAGCCAGCCACAGTCGAGAGTCCGGTGGTCCTACGAGGAGCGCCTCGACTCACCGTCGTAGAGACTCGACGGAGTTACTACCGCGGAGCGAGGAGAAAACGCGCAGAAGGGAGCAGAGAGGAGATGTGAGAAGAAGAAGAGGAAGAAGAAGGAGCGGGGAAAGCAAAGGAAGAGGCGATCTCAAGGGCGAAGATTGTGTTGCGCGAAGGATTAAAGAGCGAATGCCCGGTGAGAGGGAGTGGGAGCAAAAAGAGGGGGCGCTCGCCGGTAAGGAAGGAGGTGCTCACAGGAAAGTGACAATCGCGATAAGGGAGAAGTCGACCGCACGTGATGATGAAGGGGACGACGAAATAAGAACGGATCAGAGCAAAGAGAAGCAACGCAAGAAGGCGATAGCAAGAAGGAGACGTGCGAGGTGAAGGAGACGAAGAAGGAGGAGAAGAAAGAGGAGAAGGAGGAGATGGAGGAGAAGAGGAGAAAGGAAGGAGGGGGGAAAGTGGATAAACACGTACCTACGCAGCGGGGAGCATCTGACTAACGAAGGCATCTACTACAGGGGAGGAACGGTGGATGATCGGGTGACCTTCAGGAATAAGGCATCGTGTGGGATGACCAAGGTCTGATTAAGGGTGACAAGATACGTGCCTAAGTACATAAGAGAGAGGTTGTCGATGGTATGGGCAGACATGTGAACCGAAATGATCTTGATGTGTGAACCAGTTGCATCGTAGGATAATACGGTAGAGTAGGTTGGGCGTTGTGCGCCAGACAGGGAGAGCGATTCTGAATACTGCATTGATGTTGCTTACTGGCTTGGACATTGGCTCATTACTTCGTTATAATGCTCTATTTTGATAAATACTTAATGCATGTGCACTCTATACTCATGCATGTTCTAGACATCTATGGATTTCGCAGTTTGGCAGTCTATAAATATATACCTTACATTATCATTATCATTGTTATTATTTTTATTATTATTATTATTATTATTGATATTATTATTATTATTTATTGATTAATTAAGTAATTGTGCTAAATTATGGGTCAGGAAAGGAGAGGAAAGCAGGGGCTAGAGAAGGGAAATAATATGGGGCGACGGAGAGGAGAGGGGCATTGTCAATATGTGATGGTGCCTGCCTCCTCCATCCTCCTCCAATACTTTTTTTCTCCTGATTGTTCATCTC